AACAAGGAGAAGAGGCTCTGCTTATCCCTCTCATTATCATTTAATAGGGCTATAACAGTGTTTTTCAAACCTGGCAACTTTAAGATGTGTGGACTTCAACTCCCAGAACTCCCCAGCCAGCATGCCATTTCATCATCTCCAAACTGTACATTGGATTTTTCATGATTTAATTTATATGCTAATCAATCTCAATTGAGATTGTCTGGAGAGGGAGTTCCCTCCCTCAAAGACGCAATCCTTTCTTTCAATATTTGTGGAACCTCTTGAAAAGTTCTTGGTACTGGTGCCATCATTGTGTCCTTTTCAGAAGCATCCATTTAAAGAAAGAAATTCTTAAAATACTGCATTACCAGGTTGATCTGGTAGGTTTTGATATGTGAGAGGATCAGCTCCGCAAGCAGAGGTACGTCCCAGTCAGTGGACGGATGGTCTGGAAGTTTCCTAGAAAGGAAAGACAGAATGAATGAATGAATGAATGAATGAATGAATGAATGAAAAAATCTTACAAGCAAAAAGAAACTCTAATTCTAACACAAACAATACAATCACCAGTAATATGGCCTTCAAAGATCTGAAGGGTTGCCACATAGAAAAGAGAGTGAATTTATTCTCTGTTGCCCCGCAAAGGGAAAGACCAAAACCAGTGGATTAAAACTACAAGGAAAGATTTTCAGGCTAGACATCAGGAGGAGCTTCCTGCCTGCACAAGCTGTCAGCCAATGAGCAGGCTGCCCCATGATGTACTAAGTCCTCCGTTGCTGGAGGTCTTCAAACAGAGGCTGGATGGTCCTCCGTCAGAGGTGCTCTTGATTTTTTTCCTCCATATCCTCCATAAGTAGGGTGGAAGAACCAAGGAGTGGTGAAGTGGGCTGGGGCGTATGGACAGTACTGGACACACTAGTAGGTGAGTGAGGCTGGCTGGGAGTGGACTGGATCAGCCTGGCTTTATCCAAGGGTAGCAGCTGAGTCCTGTCTTTCGTTGTACCATCACTTTTCCAGCAGTTAGCAACTTCCCTGGCTTCTCCCTTTTTCTGACAGGGTGAGAGGTATTAGCAGCCTGTTCGGGGTATAAGCAGCCAGGGAAGCTTCAAAGGGATGGAAAGATATGCCACAGCAAAAGCGTAACACCGCAGTCACTGCCAAGAAGAAAGTCCACCAAAGACCAAGACAAATTCAAAATAAATTCCCAAGCAACCTGGCCATTTGGATAGAAAACGTCAGACGTCAAGTTTAAAAGGCCATAAAGACTTGGCTTTTCCCCAGGGCATTAAGGCTCAAGTGCCAGACGAGCCCGATATATATGGGCTTTGAAATTGCAAGTTTGTTAAGCAGTGCCTTATTGCCTTAGGATTATTTTTAATTGTATTTTTGTTGTATTTATTTATTTAACCAATTTATATAGCCCCCCATCTCACCACAGGCGACTCTGGGCGGTGTACAACAAAGCTAAAAACAATCAATAAATACATTAAAAGTATAAAAAATCAAAATAGAACTAAAAAGGATGTTACAAATAAGAGAGCCACCTCACTAATCCCCCCGTCCTCTGGGTTCCCCAGGCCTGCTGGCATAGCCAGGACCTTTACGGGGATTTTATTAAATTGCTTTTTTCTATGGATCGGTTGTTCGCTGTCCAGAGTTATTTATTTAAGGCGGGCAGCCATCTATCTTTTCCAAATAAATAAGTAAATAGGTTGCAAGGCAGATTTTGGAAGATCCCTCGTAAATAAATCCCCAGTAAGTCCATTTAAAAAGGGTTTAGGGCCCGGGATGTGGGAGGCTGCCCTGTTCCCTAGGACAACAGCCTACGAATCTCTTGAAATCAACCAGGGGCAGAAAAAAATGGAATTATGATATATGGATGTGATGATTAGTTAAATTAATAGATTGTATGTTAAGAAGTAGTTTTAGAGTAAGAGGTTATTATATGATCTGTTTACATCTGCTTTATAAGAAGTCGGAAGTTATTCTTTTTGTATTCCTTTTTCCCTCTTCCTTTTCTTTGATTTTCCACCACTTTTGTATTCTTTATCTCTAACTTTCTTGCTCTCTACCTTCCTCCTCGATTATTAGTTCTTGTTTGCTTTTACCTTTATGCCTTTCATAACTTAATAACCAGGGCCACCAGACCTTGGCAGAATAGCAGGGTATCATTTTGACGGCCAGCCGCAAATCCCGCTGATGTGCCGTCCCAGATCCTGGATCAGAAGCAAAGTTGGCAGGCTGCCTTTCGTGCCCACGTTTTCTGCTGGGCACCCAGGCAGCTTTCAGTAACCTCCCTGGATGGAGGTCACTCGAGTTCAGTGGAAACCAACAGCGGGAGGCAGAGGATCAAATAAATCCCTCTGAGCTCAACAACGTGACAAGGAGCCAAAATGAACTCCAGGCCATTGCGGAGGGAGAGCACGCAAAAATGCAGCCTCAAGTCGCCTGCTGAGCTGAAAAGTGGGTTAATTGGGTACAAATGTTTTATCCGGTCGATTCCCAAAACACACCCAGAAGGGGAACATATTTTTTTCTAAGCACCTATGATTCGGAAAGGGGCTAAAATGTATTTTATTTTTTGTAAAATAACACTATGTAAATTATGAAATGCATTTTATATTTTATTTTTGACAGTGAAGGTAGTGGTGGGTGAATAACTTATTTTTTAGGATCAAGTATCAACAGAAAAGGAACAGGCGGTCAAGAAACATGCCACAGACTAGCCCTTGGTAGAGCAGCCATGAAGGCCTTGGAAAAGATATTCAGATGTTGCGATGTGTCTCTACCTACAAAGATCAGAATCGTGCAAGCCACGGTTTTCCCTGTGACCCTCTATGGAAGCAAAAGTTGGACTTCGAAGAAGCAGGAAGGAAGAGTATTGACGCTTTTGAGCTTTGGTGTTGGAGAAGACTCCTGAGAAGACCATGGACAGCCAAGAAAACAAACCGATGGATCATTGAGCAAATCAACTCAGAGTTCTCACTTGAGACACAAATGAACAGGCTCAAATTATTCTACTTCGGACACATGATGCAAACACCCAGAAGAGTATTGACGCTTTTGAGCTTTGGTGTTGGAGAAGACTCCTGAGAAGACCATGGACAGCCAAGAAAACAAACCGATGGATCATTGAGCAAATCAACTCAGAGTTCTCACTTGAGACACAAATGAACAGGCTCAAATTATTCTACTTCGGACACATGATGCAAACACCCAGCTCTCTAGTGAAGGTTCTGATGCTGGGAAAAATGGAAGGAAAGAGAAGAGGATGACCAGCAGCAAGGTGGAGGGACTCAGTTACAGTGGTGATGGGAGCACCGTTGGAAGACCTGTAGGACCAGGTTGGAAACAGACCATCCTGGAGAAGGTCTATCTATGTGGCCGCTAAGAGTTGACACCAACTTGATGGCACATGATCAATCAATCAAAATGTATTTTCATACAAATGGCTGGCAAGTTCAACCCTTCAATTAGGCACAGGCAAAAGATTCAAGGAAAATGAAAGTGTCATGTCCTGGGGAAACTGTCCCCATTTCCCCACCAGATAATCAAAACTGCCCCAGTTTTCCTCTGTACAGGATGGAGAATGTGGGGAAGCAATCTTAGTTCTGCCCAATGCAAAACAGGTTCCATATCAGACAATCCTTCAAAGAAAAAGAAAACAGGTCCTGTGCAAATACTTGATACCCCCTCCCCCATTGATTGATTCAGAGTGCCAAATCAGTCTGACAGTTCAAACAAACTGATCTGAATCAACCTACACAGATTTGCTGATTTTCCACCAAGGCACGTGTTAGTCCAAACTGGACTAAGTCAAATGGGTTCAGTTTGAAGTTCTGGTTCAAATAGATTTGGGCATCTGAATCAAATCAGGTTGGTTTTCTTACATGTTCAAACCAGATCAGACCCAACTGGCACAGCCACAGTATTCAGGAAGTGGAGTGCCCATTGTTCCTGCCATCTCAGATTCAGTAGGACCATCTGGAGCATGACCAACAGTCCTTCCCATCAGCATATCAGAGGAGAACTGCAAAAAAACTCTAGTTGCCTTGTTCTGTGGAACAGCCAAGATCAACTCAAGGTTTGGGGGATAGCTGCCTCCTTGGTCTTGGCGGCTAGCTTCCCAGCCCAAACAGAAGCCAGAGAGGCTTCTTCTGTGCCAAGGACTGCAAAGTCTACGGTGACCTTTCCAACAATGCAGCCCAGCCAGCTCAGAAGCTTGTGAAATATCTGATATTTACTGGGTTAACTTGGCACCAACTGGGTAGCTGGGAGCTCAGGTTGCAAACACTGAAATGAAGACTTGGTTAAGGGTGACGTGAGTTTTCGCACATTCTTAGGAGCAGTTCCAAGGGGTGCTCCTCATTTCTCTCCCAGTAGTATCTATAACTTGTCCTATGATTCAATTCATGTTATCTTTACTTCTTTGGTAGATGAAGTAGATCAAAACCCATGCAGTTCTGAAGTCAGGAAAATTAGAAAAAATTCCATACTGACAGCGAGCATGAACCCAGGGTGAAAGATGGAGGACCAGCTGTCATTCCTTCTCCCCACTGGGACTAATCAGAGCATGCAAGAAGACATTAAAGTTCAGACACATTTCTATCTCTGCCACCGTTTCCAAACTGGGAGCAAATCTGTTCCATGAGTATGTCAGCTCAGGTCTGACCTAACTTCTAAAGAAGGTTGGAAAGACATCTAAAGGTTACTAGGTTGGAGAAGACCAAAGACATAAACTGACTGTGTCCCATCAAGTCAGTGTCATCTCTTAGTGACCACAGAGATAGACCTTATCCAGGATGATCTGTCTCCAGCCTGGTCCTTCAGGTCTTCCAACGGTGTACACATCACCACCATAATCAAGTCCTTGCTGCTGGTTGTCCTCTTCTTATCTTTTCTTCCACTTTGTCCAGCATGGTAGACTTCTCCAGAGAGCTAGGTCTTTGCATAATGTGTCCAAAATATGATAATTTGAGCCAGGTCATTTGTGCCCCATTTAGAGTCCTAGAATCACACAGTTGGAAAGTCCCCTAGTCCAACTGTCCCCCCTGTTGAGTGCAAGAATTCAAATTAAAGCTCCCCAGACAGATGGCTATTTAGCAACCCTCGGAAACCACCAGTAAAACTACACCTGGGTCAGTGTAGAGCAGTGTTTCTCAACCTTGTCACCTTTAAGACAGGTGGACTTCAACCCCCAGAATTCCCCAGCCAGATTCTGGGAGTTGAAGTCCACCCATCTTGAAGTGGCCAAGGCTGAAAAGCACTGCTCTAGCCCCGATGCATCGCTTCCACCTTTCCTCTCTGGCTGCCTGAGAACAGGTGCCCTTTCCAGCTTGCTCCCCCCACCCCACCCGCTGCAATGCAAACCTTAGGCAACCTAGGACCGCTCCCCCCCATGCTCCGGGATAACCCTGGGGCAGCTCCAGAATGCCCAGCGCTCGCTCGCCACCACCCTG